CCCCATATTAAAAAAAAAAAAAAAGTGTGACATGTTTGTATATTGAAAATCACTTTTAGTATAAAACCTAAAAGATGTTTACTATTGTGTTTTTTATCTTTGCAGAATGGATGTTTGGTTCCAGTGGGGGCCGTTCTGGACTCCTTCCGGTGGACGTCACTCAGCCTTGTGCCCCACCAGACTACCACAGCAGCAACATGGAGCGGCAGCTTGAGCGGAAAAAGAGTATGAGACTCACCGGCTCTTCCCTCAATGGCCCTGTCACCAACATGCCTGTCAATGGCTCCGTTTCCAACACCCCTGTTACCCGCTCAGTGGCTGGCAGTGAATACAGTGTGGAAGTGGGGTTCATCCAGAGATCTGAATCAGAACGTCAGAAGTATATCATGACTGAGTTTGCCAAGAAGTTCTTCACAGATGCTATCAACAGGTGAAATCTTCTGGAAAGCAGAGGAGTTTGCATCATACTTCACAAACTCCACTTGACATTGATTTATTTCTCTCTCTTTTTTCAGAACAAACATAGACAAAAGTCTTAATGAGATGGTGGAATATACTCCAGTATGTATGCATCTCTTAGTCTCTCACTCGATGCATGCTGGGATTTTATACATTTGTTTAAATGTTTTTGTTTGCTTTTATTAGAATCCCATTCAGGAATCACTGATCCTTTTCTCAGACAATGATCTCAATCGTCTGGGTGCTCAAAACTTCATGTGTAAGTGAACTAATGTACTGACAAATAGACATACTGTAAACTCATCCATTATAACAGCATACATTTTGGGATCCCTGGTATAATGTACAGTCAGTGGGTCATGTAAAATAAAATCAGGACCCCAATGAGAAGCAAAAAAGTATTTTATGTGTACAAGTTTGGTTTTACCAGCCTGAAAGGGTTTATTATTCGCAAGAATGAGAGAATAACTATATTATCCCACTTATTACCATACATGGCTATTTACCACATTGATAAATACATTAAATATATAAATTAAAATAAAATAAATGTATATGTAATATGTAATATAAAATAAAAAAACATGAATTATTGATTTGATTTTAAATTAAGAGACTTTGGAGGAATAAAAAAGATGTTAAAAAGAAGCATGCATGGCTATATATAAAATTGGTTGCTTGGGAAAGCGGTCATTATATTCAGTTTATATACCAAAATATTTGATCACAGATTGACCAATCAGAGTCAAGTATTCCAGAGAACAAGTATTTGACACAACAATCTCTTTGTAGTTTTGATGCAGTTTATGTTGGATCAGCCTATGAAGAAAAGTCAGACAGAGAGTGATTTTGTTAACTTCATTTTGCAGGTAAGTGTTCCCTCCAGATCTACAGCATATTTTTTGAGAGGTATTGTGAATTTACAGAATACATCTATAACATGACAACTTGTTTTGGTTCAGCTGGGGAAAGAGAAGGAGTTCCTCAGGGATGAGATCTACTGTCAGGTCATCAAGCAGACTACCAAAAACCCAGTCAAGTGAGTAAATAATATGTGTACACTACCATTCAAATGTTTGTGGTCAGTAAGTTGTTTTTTTATATACTTGCAAGGACACATTAAATTGATAAAAAGTGACTGTAAAGACATTTACAATGTTACAAAACAATTTCAAATAAATGTTGCTCTTTTGAACTTTGTAGTCATTAATGACTTCTCCAATTTTACTGACCCTAAACTTTTGAATGTGCATATTGTTTGCTGATTTTGTAGGGAGAATTGCACCCGTGGCTGGCGTTTGTTCAATCTGGTGACTGGATTCTTCCCTTGTTCCAACACTCTCCTGCCATATTGCACCCGCCACCTGGAGGCCATCATTCAAGATTCCAACCACCCGTTTCAAGGTACAGTATTCCCCTAACATCTTGTACTGTATTTGTAGTGCAGACTTGCTTCAGTGACCCCACCAATATGAGCCAAGATTACGTCATATGTGGGTTTTGTTACACAATCTACTTAGAATGTCATTTGAAACTAATTGAATGTACAGTAATGGCTGTTTTTGTTTTTGCATGGGTTTTTGTGAATATAATATTTGTATATAGAACTGGCAAGTGTGTGCATGAAGAATCTCAGGCGGTCACTCAGTTTTGGAGGACGCAGGCACATCCCTTCACATTCAGAGATGGAGGCCATTTTGGTAAGTGAAGATGCATGAGAAAAGAAAATATGTTGAACAGAGAAGATGAAAGCATGTGAAATGGGTTTCTTTGCCCTGATATCTGAATCACATGCAGGCTGGGAGGAACTCTCGTCGGCTGCCCATCATGCTGCCTGGTGGAAACGAATTTTCCTGCAAGATTCGCAGCTTTAGTGTAAGTGAGGGATGCTCTTTCTATTTTTATTCTATTTAGATAATGTGTTGTCTGCATGAAGTGCTATTATGCTTTTCTGTAGGTTGCATTTGAGGTGGTACAAGACTTTTGCACTGAGATGGGCATCATAAATCCAGCAGAAGTGAAGGAATTTTCCATCCATGCCACTAGGAAAGGAGGTAAGATATCTTTAGTCACTCTTATGCTCAGATGAACACACACTGTTTTTGTTTTTTTGTTTTTTTACCATGAATCCCTCTCTTTAGGTGATGGGACACGTCCAATTCACTCTGATGAGTATCTGTTTGACTTCCTGCTGGATGATGGCTCCATCTCCCTCTCCTTTCATCGAATAATCTGGAAACAGCCACTCCGGTTTAACAATGATCTTTATCTGGAGTTCCACTACCAGCTGGTACAAAAACAGTCACTTTTGAATTCATTATTATGTCAAATATTAAAGTAATAACACAACCCCTGTTTTACATTAATGGATATCCAAGATGTCAAGAGATATATCTTAAAATGTATACACTACTATTCAAAAGTTTGGTGTCTGTAAATTTGATATTGCTACAAAAGATTTTAAAAAATAATTACATTTTTAAATATTTTAAAATAAACATTCTTATAAATTGTAATAATATATTTCACAATATTGCTAATTTTACTGTATTTCTGATCAAATAAATATCGCCTTGGTGAGCATAAGAGACTTATTTCACTTATATCAGTCTTAAACTTTTTTATATATCTATCATTTTCATGTATTGTATGATGGATGCCATCTTATGTTTTTTTAGCTTTTGGCTAATTATCTGGGAGGGAGGCTGTTGCTGCCCATGAACGGCTCTACAATCTACCAGCAGGTGGCAGAGTTGACCGCTCTTCAACACCTTGCCCTTGGGCTGACTGATTTACCTTCCAAGTAATTTTATATATCTCAAACCTTGTGATTTCTTATCCCTAAACCTTTCAATGAAACTTACAGTCATTTCGACTGACATTCTAATCGTTGGTTTAAATCTGACACTTATTTATTTGTAATCAATTTTCATCTTCAGCTCTGAGGTAAAGCAGTATCTTCCCCGGATGGATCGGCTCAACTCCAGTGACGAAAGACTTCTTGCTACTATACGGGCACAGTTTTCTACCTTAGGCCCCCTCGGCCATCTTGATGCCAAAGCTCGCTTTATCAGTGAGTGAACAAATCTGTCTAAATGTTTCCAGACAGCTGTTAAACCATTTCAGTAATTGATTTCACATCCTTATCCATATAAACAAACTCTTCAACTTTCCAGAAAGTGTCAGTTTGCTGCCTTTCTTTGGATTTGATGTATTCACTGCTCAGAAAGTAAGTCATCGCAGCTGCCCCTCTCCCTCCCTGGTCGCAGTCAGCCATAATGTTATCAAAATCATTGATCCCAAATCACAGGTGTGACATCCTTGTTCAGGTCCCATGATGTTTTGATCTTAATTGTGTGTTTTAACCATACCCGACCACAACTAAAGAATCACAAACTTTGCAGAACGCATGTTTGACAATGTCTCTGGAGGACATGCAGTCCTTGCGCACAATCCGTCCCAAGAAAGACAAGCTGCCATCAGTTGAGGTCAGCTTTAGTGGCCAAACTCAACCCAGGACTGTCAGCTTCAGTCTAAAGCAGGTTCGTATGTAGATAAAGGTCATGGATAAATACAATATATACATGTTGTCATTTTCAAGAGCTGGTCTTATTAATATTTTGGTTTTGATTAATGAGATTGCTCTTATTTTTGATCTCTCGTGTCTCCCAGGCGAAAGAGCTGTGCCACACCATTGCTGTGATTATGGAAGAGGTGGTGAAACCCTCCTACAGCAGTGTGTCCAGTCGGGCCGGAACCCCACATTAAACAACCAACATATGCAAAGCTCACCTAATAACCCATGACTTACTCTGAAGTTCAAAGATGTCTCCTGCCATGAAATATTACAGACGTTATATTTAAAAAAAAAAAAGATGTACAAACGTTTATGTAAGATCAAGGTTAATGCTTACCAAATGTTTAATTCATTATAGCCAGGGTTTTTCAGGGGCGTAAAGATACTGCAGAGAAGATGTATACAGTACAATTTTCTATAAAAATATCATGACATTTTGAACTGTTTGGAATGAACATTATTGATTTAATAAGCATTATTTAATGTAATCATTTTTTTAACAAATATGTGTTTAATTTAGTATCATTATGAATTTATACCATAAAATGGGGATGATTTGATTAGATTTATTATAATTAATGAGATTGCTCATATTTTTGATCTCTCGTGTCTCCCAGGCGAAAGAGCTGTGCCACACCATTGCTGTGATTATGGAAGAGGTGGTGAAACCCTCCTACAGCAGTGTGTCCAGTCGGGCCGGAACCCCACATTAAACAACCAACATATGCAAAGCTCACCTAATAACCCATGACTTACTCTGAAGTTCAAAGATGTCTCCTGCCATGAAATATTACAGACGTTATATTTAAAAAAAAAAAAGATGTACAAACGTTTATGTAAGATCAAGGTTAATGCTTACCAAATGTTTAATTCATTATAGCCAGGGTTTTTCAGGGGCGTAAAGATACTGCAGAGAAGATGTATACAGTACAATTTTCTATACAAATATCATGACATTTTGAACTGTTTGGAATGAACATTATTGATTGAATAAGCATTATTTAATGTAATCATTTTTTTAACAAATATGTGTTTAATTTAGTATCATTATGAATTATACCATAAAATGGGGATGATTTGATTATATTTATTATATGGCTGATCTGTTTTGTATATGTGTTATAATTGTTTAATGATTTGCCTCCAAATAAAAGAAAACTGATTAGTGAGTGTAGATGTTAAACTATTAAAGTGTTAAAGTATTAAACTATTAAAGTATAAATGTCTTCTGAAGTGTATTTTTCATTATTTTTCAATAAAAATCACTGGTATCTCTCCTCCTTTCTCTGTCATGAAACCGAGAAAACTTTTTTCTTTCCATTTTGCGTGCAGATACATATTTAAAGAGCGATATTTATAAATATGCGTTTATTATAAACCCCATATAACATCAAAGGTTTCACTTCGATGTTCAGGGTAACTACGCCTAACTATGAGCCAGACAACAGCAAGCCGATTACCTGCCCTGTAGTACGGACCAATCACAAAGGACAAAACAAAGCAAATCCCGCCCCTCAGATAACAATGACCAATCAGATTCCACTACATCGTCTCTGCATAAAACATACCACGCCCTTCTAGTCACTAACATGGCCGTCACCAGGGAGTGAGTCCAAGGATTTTGAGACGAATATTATTTGATTCTGCTTAAACGCTCTTGATGATTGACGATGCCACTTGCGGGTCGTTGATGTTGCAGCAGCTCTATAACGTAAGTTTACGTCGATTTAATGTGATCTGAACATGCAGCCAGTATCATTTAACCCCTAGGCCACCTCTGTTAACATGAACCAGCTGTTTCGATTGTTTCTACGTTACTTGGGTTAATGATATTTATATATAAATGATTGTAACTTTGACATCTCATTTCAACAGTGAGATACAGCAGGGTTGGTTCTGTCAGTCGCAAGCCTTGATCAAACGATCAACATGCAAAATGGGAGCTGCCTTTCACAGTAACATAGGTGTAATAATAATCGGAAAAACTCTGGAATATTATATGTTATTATCATGTGTAATACATAAATGCAAGCTGTTACTGTCAAGTATTTAATAACTTTGTGCAACACCACTGCTTATTTAGGGTGTCTCTGTAGAAATATACATATTACTAAACAAATGTCTCTACAAAACTGTCATTTTGTTTTAAAGCTTAGACTGTAACTTAGTTGTTCAGATGAATCCTGCATTGTCATTTCACTCCCTGTAGTTAAATATTAAAGCCTCTAGTAGCATCAACACTACTAGTAAAGTACTTATTTAGTATCTGTGTAATGCTGTCATCACTTCTTCTCTCTGAATATTTTTGGATTTATGAGATTATGTTAGTGATTATTTTATTTTTTATTTTTTTTGGCCCAGTGATGGTTAATTACAGTTTTGAGAGCCAGTTTGGATTTTCAGAGTGAGGAGTAATTTAACTTGCGAGTTTGCTGGTTAGGTTTACTTGTCTCTCTAAATAATAAGCCAAACTCTTAGTGATTTGTTTGTCAAATATAGCGTCTTACATAGAAAGCCACCGATTAAATGATTAAATGTCCTACATTGTTTGAGGTTGTAGCTAAAAGCTGTTTTTGCAGATTGCTGGCACTCTTATATAATTTTTCTTGTTTAATTTTAGACTGTCATTGCCTAATTGATCATATTTACAATGACATCAGCGGAAACAGAGAAGCTATATTCCTAAGAATATTCTTTTATTAAATTAAATATGGGTATATTTTGATTGTGTTTCCATCTTGTGTGATTACCAGAACCTGATCATGTCAGGTTGGCATCAGATGGCATAAGGACAGTGGGTATAAACAGAATCACCCCCTTTACAATAATCACATTTTGTTGCTTTGCAGCCTGAAATGAAGACAGACACAGTTTTTGTTTTATCCAGCTGTATTTACTCAGTGCAGATTATAACATCCAAGTGAAAGATATAACACCAACTAAATAAATATATATATTTTTTTAAAGTCCACTGAGTTGGAAAAAGAATCACCCCCTTGTGTCAGTATTTTGTTGAACCACCTTTTGCTTTAATTACAGCCTTTAGTCTGTTGGTTTATGTCTCTACTAACTTTGCACATCTAGACTTTGCAATAGCCTATTTGCCCACTCTTCTTTGCAGAGCTGCTCAAGTTCAGTTAAAGGGGTCATATGATGTTGCTAAGAAGAACATTATTTTGTGTATTTGGTGTAATGAAATGTTTATGTGGTTTAAGGTTAAAAAAACACTATTTTCCACATACTGTACATTATTGTTTCTCCTCTATGCCCCGCCTTTCTGAAACGCGTCGATTTCTTACAAAGCTCATCGGTCTGAAAAGCGAGGTGTGCTCTGATTGGCCAGCTATCCAGTGCGTTGTGATTGGCCGAATACCTCAAGCGTGTGACGGAAATGTTACGCCCCTTACCATACTGTGATGCCCTGTCCGGCCGGAGCGACGAGACAAATGGCGCTTTTCCACTGCATGGTACGGCACGGTACGGCTCGGTACGGTTCACTTTTGGGGGGTTTTCCACTGGGTACAGTACCTGGTCCTTTTTTTAGTACCACCTCGGTTGAGGTTCCAAGTGAACCGTACCGTTACCAAAACGTGACGTGTAAACTCTGC